CGAGCGCGCCGGCTGCTTCCACTTCGTGACCTCTCCCTCCCCAGACGCCCAGTCCACCGTGTCCCGTGTAGCCTCTCAACTCGCCATCCTGCAGCGGTCCGAGATCTCCAACCCGCCCGCGTATGGCGCCCGCATTGCCTCGAAAGTGCTCAACGACCGCGACCTCTTCGCACAATGGGAGAAAGACCTGAAGACCATGTCTGGCCGCATCATCGAGATGCGCAAGGCCCTGCGCGGCAAGCTCGAGGAGCTCGGTACGCCGGGCAAGTGGAACCATATCACGGAACAGATTGGCATGTTCAGCTTCACGGGCTTGACGGAGAAGCAGGTCGACAGTCTGCGCGAGACTTCGCACGTCTACATGACGAAGAACGGTCGCATCTCCATGGCCGGTCTGAACACAAATAACGTAGAGTACTTTGCAAAGGCAGTGGACAAGGCTGTGAGAGAAGCGTAGGTGTGTGTGTACGGGTATGGGATTCACTCAGTACATTCGCTGCAGATACGTTTGCGAGCTGGGGTAAGTGGGGTGTGTGGGTCGGCTGTGGATACGAACTCATTTTCGGCCTTCTTCCCTCCGTTCGGGGGTCGAAGGCTTTCCCTTCGGCGACCACGGACAATAATCCGAGCTTCCTACGCACCACTCCCACACAACATGGCTAACATTCGGAACACATTATAGCGGGCATATGGGTAAAAAGAAAAGTCTCACCTCATTCTATCTAGGTCTAGATAGAGTACATCATAAGCAAAAAGGAATCAGTAATGGTAGCCCCACTGGTTTCTGAATGGGTTACATGCACTTTCTTCAAATATCCACATGTACATGCAGGTGTCGAATCTCCGTTTCTCGGCTACACGTGCGCCTTTTCCATGTTCCGGTGAACTAGATAACCAAGGCCGTAGAAAGTACAGAGTCCGGGCACGGCTTCCACGTGGTGACGGAGTCAAACCGCTGAGGCCCAAGGCCCGGAAACTGATTTCCAAGGTTCGATATGTCAACCCAACGCACCTGCTATCTCTGGACCTAGCCAACAGTTGGTATTCTTCGTGTATTCTAGCGCCGGGCGCCAATGATACCACTAGTGAAGTGAGGACATGCACCTTGCGGACATGGGCGTTCGGTCTTGTCTTGGTCACTGTAGGGCGGATGGTGGTGGTGGTGATGAGTGAATAATTGGTTGAAAGAGATGAAACCGGGGCGCCTCGAACGAGAATGTCAGCTGTAAGCTGTTAGTTCAAGTTGGTTGTACCGGTTGTGACGACATAGGTCTCGGGTTCGGATTCGGAGATGGGGCCGGGGGTGCATTTGCATGGGCGTAGTATGGTGTGCTGTTAGGGCTTGCGGGTGCATACGAGAAGTGCTGTAAGATAGAGGCAGAGGAGGGGCAGTAACAGTTTAGGTCTGTTAGAGTGGTTGGGATCGGGGTGGTGTAACTTCGGACGGTGTTGGTCTTATTCGATCTCTCTGACTTGGTCCGGCTTTGATGCCTGAGGAAGTGGGAATGCGGCGAAGCCTTTTCGTGAGATGACTGAGAAGAGAAAATTGGCAAGGTAGTGGGATTGGTTTGCAGAAGATTGAGTGTTATTCATTATCATGCGACTTCGTGGGTATGTGTAGATGAATGAACCCGCTTCGTAACAGGAGTGGAGCTCGTAAGTGGGGGAATAAATATATACAGTAAATATCGAATAAAGCTGGTGATGGAAAAGAAATGTCGGGTATCGCGCGCAAAGCGGGTTTCTAGACATGAAAAAGGAAGCTGCAAGATGCTGCCACAGGAAGCGGGTATAAACACAAGAAAAAACGTCGCTGTACAGCGAGAAGGTAGAATAATGCAAGAAAAGAAATAAACAGGGGAAGGAAATCGTGATATCTCCCATCCGTTCGTCCACGCCGTGTGTTATCCCTCATCCGAAGCCTTGATGAAACGCCAAACCCCAAAATATAGAAATGAAGAGAATATAAGTGTAGGAAAGGCAGATCAAATGATCTCCTTAATCCCATGTCGAGCACTCAGCCTCGCCTTGATACTCCAGCTCCGCTTCCTAGACTCCTTCTCCTCCCTGCTTATCGGCGGACTCAATCCCTTTGGCGGACTCGCACTCCCAATACCATCAAACCTCGACCTCGCTTGATCGATCTTCGAAATCGGCTTGTTGACTGGTGGCGGCGTACTTGCGTTCAAGCGTGCCGCCTCCAGGATCGTAGTGTCTCTAAACTCTGGGCTCTCGAGCGAAAACCCCTGCAAAGGGAGCGACGCGGTGGAACTGTTGTTCGAGTCGACGCGAAGCAAGGGAGGTGATCTCATGGAGAAGGTGTCGTAGGGGTGTGTTGTTGATTGCGAAGTCAAGGGCCGTGTAATATCCATCATCGAGCGGTTTGTTGTTGGAGGTGCGGGGAAGAGGGACATGCGCGGCGTGGAAACGGAGGGGGGAGAGTTGGGGAGAGGTGGAGATCCGATGCTAGATCGTGCCGTCTTTTGCGGGATGTGGTTTGCTGGTGTGGGAACTGTGACTACGGTTGTCACATTGGGAGGTGGTGTTGAGGGCGTGGGTGACAGTGAGCGCATTGCGCCTGGTGGTGGGGTTGACGTGTTGCTCCGGAACGCAGGGTGTATGTTCGACTGGTTTTCCTCAGGGACTGAGCGAGGTGTTGGTGCTGGAGAGCGGAGTGCTGGGTGGATTGCTTCCATACCGGCAAGGCTGTTCGATTGAGTAAGAATGGGAAGTTGAATTCGCTTACCACTCTTGCCTGAGTCGATGGAATTTGTGACTGAGGGGATGGGAGAGGCAGATCGGGAGCGTTCAGATGGAGTGGGAGGCAGTGGTCGGTTGATTGGTGGAGGTGAAGGTAGGAGTGTCATTTTTGAGATGCTGGATACGCGTTTGGGGATCGCAGCGTTTGCGGATGAATGTGCAGGCATAGGAACGTTGGGGAATGCGCCGATCTCGGAGAGGTCTTCAAATGAGGCATGGATAGTGATTTCTTGGGACCGCGTTGTTATTCCGGAGATGTCGCGCGAGTGCGAGTACTTGGAGGACTTGGAAGATGAGGTGGATGCGTCCGAGTGTTCCGATGGGGTGTATTCGCCATCAGAGGGATTGGGTGTGTCTTCTAGATGCTCCTCTGGGATCGACTCGGGAAATGAGTGAGGCGATGAGACGGGCTTCGTTGCGTTCAGTGGCTTGATAACGGACCATGGTGGCGATTGCTTCATCAAATGCTCCAACGGTGTTTCCAATTCTAGGCCATCCCACTCCTTCAGCTTCTTGGCTACCCAGGGATTCTGTGTACAGCGTAGCTTGGAGAAATATGCGCTGCATGCTTGGATGTTGGACATTGGGTGGCCGTGATCAAGCAGATCGTCCAGAGTGGCTGCATACTCGGCGTTGAAGTCTTCTATATTGGCGTACTGGTCGATGTGCAGGTTCAAGAAATGGCAGAAGACGTGGTGGTAGTCCTCAAACCTGAATTCGTCGAATTGCGCATCCAATGCTTCCATCATTTCTCTTGCCGTGAGGGACACAGGCGGTAGCGGCGGGCCAACTTCGAAGATCTCGACCTTGATGTCATCTGCGACCGAAAGGAACAGATCGAGCTTGACATCACGGTCCTTCTTTACCCATGCTTTCCGCTCTTCTAGAAGTTGTGGTTGGAGATTCGTTGGAGTCGTAGGCGAAAAGAAATTAGGACCGGCTTCCGGCATAGGCATCGGGACGGTACCATCGCAGTGACCCCAAGTTCCCTTTGCCACAAACACAGCTTTTACTTCACGTCTCCATCGGGCATATTCAGGACCGGTGGCTTCGGGGCGTAGAACCAGAAGGCCTGGTAGGCGGGGGGAAGGTAGTGGCGGCATGGCGACGAGGAAGATGAGTATGTGGATCTCAAATCGGAAACCACGAGGCGGTAAAAGTGAGGGAAATGATTCTGTCGGGGAGCCAGTTCTTGATAAAGTCCGTCGCAGTTGAGGCCAGCAAGCGGAGTAGACTACAGACGGGCGGACATTTGTTACAACTGCACGCCGTGCACTGTGCGAATATAAGTGTCCGCAGTCTACAGTGACCTCCTCCGGACCAGAGCACGTAATACCGCAGTGCCGGGCTTCCAGGTTCACTAGTTGCAGCTGTAACAAACCCGGCAGTGGCTCTCTCTTACATACAAGGCCCAAAAAGACATGGGATGACCAAGCAGTCGCAGACAGCGATACTGCTTAGAGGTCAGATGTGTCTGCATGACCTTGCAAAGTGCTGCGGTCAGCCCACTATTCTTGTATACGCATGTCGGGGTGTTGAGGTCGAGGTAAGGAAGTGAGCCAATAGGGTACTAAGCTAGGAGCCGGGGTGTGCCGGTTGGTCAGTGCCCGTCGGGGTACGGCGATGGTTCAGTTCGAAGTCCGAGAATTGATTGTGCGTGATACGCTCGTGTTAGGAGCGATCTCTTGGGTCCTTGGGTCTCCTCTTGGGAAGAGGCCGCTAGGGTTGGTCCGCATTGCGAGCGCTCATTGCTCTAGGCTGGCGTATGTGCTTCTCCGTCCCGAGTAAAAGAATCCGACATGACGATGGTGGGAAGCACAGGATGACGGCAGACGACGACGACTACTTGGCTTGATGAGGATGTTGGAGCGAGCTGTGGCTTGAAAGGGTATGCAATGATGCGTGCAGTGTGGGGTCTCTCGATGTTGCGAAGAGCAACCGTTGGTCGTAGAGAGGCATCTAACTTGCAAGCATGGAGCCCTTCTATTTTTGATGATTGTGTGACGTGGAGCACGTTCAATCGTGGTGTTGAAGGGGGCCTTCACCTTCAAAGTTCATCATGGAGGAGCCACACTTCGACACACTAGAAGGCACCGGCCATGGGACTAGAACATTGGTGACATGCTATTCTTAGATGATGCACCCACCACAAAGACTCACTCGAAATTTATCACCGCTCAGCTCTTGTACTCCAGTACATATAACATGTAATTGGTAAACTCTGCATAAGTCAATCAAAAGGCGCTCTGGCAGAGTGGTTATTGCGTAAGACTAGAACTTGTTCTTCACAGAACTCGCTCAGACATCTTATTCCTTCGGGAGCACAGGTTCGAATCCTGTGGGCGTCGTAGAATTGGTTTCTTTTTTGCCTCGACTTTTTCATCTGGTGGCGGTGTGCCTTCAGGAGGTGGGTTCTTTTTTTTATGCACAAGCCTGTTCAGACGGGCCTGCCGATGATTAGCCGGGACAGAATGCCAAGACCATCCACGTGACAGATCATGATCTCGAGCTAACTCGATGTCCCATATCTTTTTTGCCCAGGCTTCGTGTACCTTCAAAGGCAGTGTGGCGGCTGGATGACTAAGCGCAACCAAGTTCCAGCTCTGCTGCTGAGCCGACGTGAACTACATTTCTCATGCCTCCACGTCCTTTTCCTTTTCCCCTACGCGTAGGCACCGACATCTGCAGCATCAAGCGGATTCAGACTCTTCTCTGCAGTCATCAATCCCCACAGCGTAGACTAGAGCGTTTTCTACCGAAGCTTTTGACATGGCCTGAACGACAGTATTTTCGAAGCCGCTTCCCGTCCTCTCATCTTCGAGACAATAACTTGAATGGAGTATCCGTGTTTCTTGCTGGAAGGTATGGAGTTTTTCGAAACATGAAGTCCTGTCTCGCCACTAATTGTGTGCTAGATGGGCCGCGAAAGAAGCTTGTCGCAAAGCTTGTGAGCACTTGGGCACCTCGAACGGCTTTCACTCGACTATAATACTTCCGATTACTGCGCCCGGAAATGATCTGGATAGGGAGACAACGCGACCTCGAGGCTTGATCCTACGCGAGCGATTGCCTGAACGTACATTCGTTCGCTCAGAGCTCGATGATGCGCCGGGCACTTGGGGCGATATGGTCTTCGATATAGATTCTGTGGAGTCCCAGTTTTGCGAAGTCAGCATCAGCCACGACAACGACTGGGCTACTGCTGTGGCCATTGTGCCGGTGTTGGATTGGCAGCACAAGACGTGAGGTATGTCTGAAATAGCATGGTGGTTCACAACACGAAGTATTGTACGGACGGGCAGCCGGCCAAATGGGATGAGCGCGCCTCGCCTCCTGCACTCTCCTACTACTGGTGATAGGAGCAAACATGCATCTGGGGTTTTACGAGGAGTATGTCACCTGGTACAGGGTGCAGCACCGACCTACAGTTGGATTTCGGTAGGAGTACAACTTTGATAGAAGATGTATAGCTTTGGCTTCTTATTGCTCACCGGTACGGGGCAACCCTTGTTCTCAGTCATCTAAATTTGGCCTCAAACCGCATCTCCACGCCTCTCGACAACCCGCACCAAAACACGGTTAGTGTAGACTTTGGTGTAGACTTGGCGCATCACGCATTCCCCCTTTCAGCTGCATCAAACCACGACATCTCGTATTCACTATCCCCTCCTACAACGCTTAACCGACCGCGTTAAAGCGATGTTCGTGATGCACACCCTCGTGCTCCAATTCGCAGACCCCTCTCCACTTGTGAACATGGCGCTGCTTCCACGACATGCCTTCTCTAGGCTTCCGTGGCTGTGAATCAAGATATCTTTCAGCCCAGTCGCGCCCAGCTCGTTTTCCTTTTTGCTTGCACATCATCTGCAAGAAGTGTTTCGAAGTGAACGGTCTTCGGACTCGACTCGAACAACCGTATATCACTGACGTCTCATTATGCGCGTGTTCTCTTTCACAGGCTATGCGCTCTGCGTGGGCTTCAGCCTCGCGGAGCTGTTCACGACTACACCTGCGGTTCCGGCTCCTACCATTACGGCGGCGCCTGAGGTGCCTATGGAGCTCTTCAGAAAACAAAACAACGATCGGTTCGTAGGATGGATGTCTAGTGATGGATCTTATACGAGTCGGACATGTGACCTTGGCCGTACCTACCACCAGTCAGGTAGCTACTGGCGGTGTTGCTCTACAACGCTTGCTGGCTGCGATGCACCACTTGGATGTTTTGCGGGTAGCTTCGTCTACCGAGTGACCACCTCGGGAACACAGACTGCGACATTGAGGACAGTTCCCTGGTAAGAATGCCCTTATAGCATTGAAGACATGATAGTGCAAGCATGCTGATATTGATAATCAGTACTTCAATGTATGATCCTACCGACTCTACATTATCAATTTGCAACACTATATTCTTGTACGAAAACACTGCCGACTCAGATGCTCTAACGAACATCGGCTGTGGAGTGAGTTCCCTAAATTGGAGCTTTTACCGTGTAAGACCCGACGCGACTTCTTCGTCCTCGCCAAGGTCTTCAAGTACGTCGTCTTCCAGCACGCCTCAGTCGACAGCCGTAAGCACCACTGAAACGGCTGGTCTCTCCACCACAAGTCCATCGTCCGACCCGCAACCCGGAGAAAAAGAGAGCAGCAAAGCCTGGATCGCCGGCGTAGTCGTTGGACCCATCGTCGGACTCTCTCTCCTCGGCGCCTTCATATTCTTCTGCATGCGGCGCAAGAAGACAACACCCGTCCAGCCCGCCATGGCCGATTACGTAGGCCCCAATGGCCCAGCACCAAGCTACCCCGGTAGTTCCAACCAAGCTCCCAATTCTCCGAGCGCATACTATGCACACCAGCAGAAGCAGGACATGGCTCCTTTCGGGGTGGCTTCACATAATAACTGGGCGCCGCAGTCGCCTACTACCCAGGGCTCAGTGTTACCTCATCCGACTTATAGTCCATATGCGGCACCGCCTCAGCAGCAATGGCCACAGCAGGGACAACAGATGTATCCGCCGCCACAGCAGGAGGTTCATGATGTGCAGAATAACAAACAGCCAGGGGTTGAAGGGAGACCCTTCTCAGCGGAGTTGGATAGTGGGGATTATCAGAATGCGGGAGGGTCCACTGCTCCGGGACAGCAGAGGTAGTATTAGACAGTCTACGAGATGGAAAGGAAGGAGACTGAGATTGTATAATTGCATCAAGCATCTCTCGCATGTTTCCTTTCTAAAGATGGGAGCACAGACGGTCACGTGAACGCGCGATCTCGCGCTTTGCCCCTCGTCTCATCCCTTCCATTCACTCCTCAAGTTGCTTCCTCAATATTCCGCGCATAGTGTTTTTCACCACAAATTCAACCCAGGTTCTCTGGAGGGCCCCATGAATATAGAAATTTAATCGCTTCCGCTTCCCTTTGAAACCACCCTTGCGTCATCGATCTTCGCCACTTTCAGACTTTCCTCACTGCCCATCGACGATGCCCCGATTGAAAGCCGCAACCGTCTCTGATCAAATGGTTCGCAAGCGAAAGCGAAACACGCGCGAAGATGAGCTTCCGGCTGAACCCATACCAGACGCCCACGCATCCTCTGCCGAGATCGAGGACGAAGTTACGACGACCACAAAGGTGCCCACAAAGACACATGATGGCGGAAAGAAGCCTAAGCGAACACCGAAGAAGAATTTGGAGGGAAGGCCTACGCTAGTGCAGCATGGCTCGTCCACGGTCGTGGAGACGTCGATTCCATGGCCGGAGCACTTCACGAAGCTGGCTCAGGTTTATCGCGCGCTGAACCTCGTATACACCTTTTGCTGCACACGCAAGCACCTCGCGACCACGCTAGACAATCTCAGGAGCACCGTAGAAGGGCAGATACAGCGCAAGTTGGTGGTCGAAGATGTCGCGCAAATCACAGCGCTCGTCCCAAAAACGATCAGGTTTGCCTACGTGGATGAAGCCATGCTACAGATTAACCTGATGGGCTCTGAGGAGAACGTCATTGGCAAGAAAGCACGGGACTTCGTCATCGCGGAGCCTGAGCTGGACAAGCATGAGCATAAAGAGGTGCTGTTGTTTGAGTTCGTTGATGGCGATCTGAAGCGCCAGGTTCAGGATGCTAAGACTGGCGAGCCTACAAAGGCGGTGCAGAAACTAAGGAACGAGGACTTGAAGATGCCGGTGTTTAGCCAGAAGCAGATGATGAAGCTGATTGAGAAGAGGAATAACAAGTTTACTTCGGCGGTCAATGCGTTTTTGAATCGTTGTCATGAACAGGGCATCCATGCGGCGGAGGAGCTGGAGAATGTGTCTGTGGCTTTTACACCGGTGCCTTCTAAGAGTAGGTCTTCGACTCCAGGACCTGAGAGATCGCTTTTACCGACGACGATACCGACAGAGCGGAAGGCTATTCCGGAGATCATCGAGGAGGTCAAGACCCTGGAGTGGTATACTGGTCAGATTGTGCCCGATGGTCATCGGGTGTTCGACCCTCAACCTCCTATTTACGGCGACCTCAATTTTCAGATGACACAGGGCCTAGTGAATGCGCTTTACAATACGCGCAACATAGAACGGCTGTATGCCCATCAGGCAGAAGCGATCAATAATCTTTACGATGGCCACAACGTCATTGTATCGACTTCCACAAGCTCTGGGAAGTCACTGATCTATCAAATACCGGTACTGCACCAGCTGGAGCAAGACATCAATACTCGAGCAATGTATATATTTCCTACGAAAGCACTAGCCCAGGACCAAAGGCGAAGTTTGAAGGAAATGTTGCGATTCATGGATGACTTGCAGGACATTGTGGTTGAGACATTCGATGGGGATACGCCTATGGCAGATCGAAATCATATCAGAGACGAAGCCCGAATCATCTTTACGAATCCTGATATGCTTCACATTACAATTCTACCGCAAGAAGAAGCATGGCGGACATTCCTCCAGAATCTGAAGTTTGTTGTAGTCGACGAACTCCATGTATATAACGGACTTTTTGGGGCACATGTCGCACTTATCATGAGACGGTTGCGCAGGATATGTGCGGCGGTGGGAAACCGCCATGTTAAGTTCATTTCATGCTCAGCAACAGTCGCAAACCCTGAAGAGCATATGAAGACCATTTTCGGGGTGGAAGAAGTGAAACTGACAGATTTCGACGGTTCACCATCTGGGAGAAAGGAATTCCTTTGTTGGAACACGCCCTTCAAAGACCCAGGCGATCCTACATCTGGCCGTGGTAATACCTTGGCGGAGTCGGCGAAGCTGTTCTGCCAACTGATACTCCGTGGTGTGCGAGTCATCGCTTTCTGTCGCATTCGGAAACAATGCGAGGCACTTCTCGCG